CTCGTCGACAATCCCACCAGAGAATGTGATATGGGAAAATTTCTGGCCTTACTTAAAATTCGCATCTGTTCTGTGAATTACGGGCGCTCGTGGCAATGTAGTGTCAGGGTTAACGTACCGAGATTATACACTGCACTTTTGTGATTCGAGTCCCGCTGTGGATGTTGATAAGACCTAGGCGAGGTCGAAATTGCAGTCTACTCCTGCCCGGATGATAATCACTTTTGGGAAAGCAAGACTATGTTAAATTCAATGAAAACGTCATTTCTACTCATATCATTTTGGGAAAAATTCAGCTACCAGTCCCCTTATCACCTTAAACGAAATAAGGTGAATACATTTTATATACAGATTTAGTGTATTTGATTGATACTTTATTACTCAGCAAATGTCTGTCATGTCTGGAGATATACAAACTGGGGTTTGGATGGATTAGGGCCACAGGACCGAGTGCCGAAAACTTCTTTATAAAATCCAGCAGTCTCAATTGCACCTCCAGAGCCAGTTCATCCGAGCTATGCCGCCCAACTACTTATAACCTGGGGACCAAAGTTCGCTGCCTCCGCTTCTAAACGCTTCATCTGAAATAAGCGAAGAGATGTTACGTACAATTGTATGAGTCTTAAGCTATTTTTCCCGCACTCTCTAACGGATTAAGTCTGAATAGCGGTTCAGACCTTCCAGAGGATATCAGAAGGGAGAGCATGAGTTTTCAGCCCCTTTATCTATTTAGAAAATAGTCACCTAAGTTGACTAAAGTCGTTAGTCAAGACCTGCTGACAGTTCCAAAACAGACTTAACATGAATAAACTTTCACAAGATCTAATCTCATTAAATTTCCCTTTACTTTTTTCCTCTTAATTAAGACCACTTTGCAAAATCGTTTTTACCTCCATTATCCACTGTCTTGAAAGTTCTGACTATCCAGACATCGGAGTCGGCATCATCAGTCAGGATGAATAGCAGGTGTGATGAGGCCACACTAGATTTGCCACAAAAGGGCACACAGTTCGACGAGTGGAATGTAAACAAGTCTATTAGGAATAGTTTATTTTTAAATGAATTTCTTAATAATTTTATGTCATTATACATGAAAGTAAATCTGGGAGAAAATTCGTTTTGAAGATATTTATGAAATCGCCTCAATAGAAAGTGAAGGAAGATCGTTCTACAGATGTGGCTTGTAGATTGTTCGTAAAGGAATCTCTGGTTCACCTTCCTACGACTTCGCTCCATTCGTGCTAGTCTTTCATTTGTCCTTCCGTGATAGGCATTGTCAGAGCTTGAAACTATTCTTTAGATAAACTTCTGCAAGCACTAAGGACTTTCTCTCATTACCCAACAATTTCTATTTGGTTTCAAGTGGGGCTAATCTACAAGAATCCTTTCTAATTAACTTTCCCATGCCATCATGTTTCCCAAAAGTCATGACCCAACGATGGAAGAATTACACTGGAGAAATGGTTCCACTTTGCCTTCACGTCTTCTTTGCCAGTTTCGAGTACATTTTCTGCCTTGCTTGGGTTACAGTAGCCTGAAATTATTAGGGCTGTATACGTGTCCGATATCACATCTAGCCTCAGCGATTGGACCTAGTCGGACGGTGATAAGGTTTCTTCTTTATTGAGAGATTCAGTCCGTGAACGTGTGTTATCAACAATTGGTCCTGCCTCGCTAATCACAGTCTCCAACACTCACTGTCCTACGGGCAACCTTTTCTCCTCTCGAAACATGCAGACTCAACTTCTGCTCTACCCTGACGCTATCGAAGTAACTAGATTTGAACGTAAGTCCAGTCGGATTAAGAGGGATATCGTAACAGGTTAACCCCTTCCGTTCCTTGAGAATAGCCTCCTTTAACAGTCATCTGTTTGTCTCGTTTTAACCGGAATTTATCGAAGTCGATTTGAAAGAAGGCGTACCAAAAGATTACCTTTCACCAGTCTCGAAAGTCATTAATTGAATGCTCGAAAGGGATTTTTGTGTTAGTAAAGTCCTAATCATGTATGAGTTCTGTACAGCTTTTATTCGAACCTCAGTTTCAATATCAGCTTGGGTTCTCCAAATCATTTAAGCTCCTTTTTGCTACTGTTTTTACCTATCATCAAGGCCTTGCAAACTGTTGGTAGTTGCCTAAAATCTTAGCAATATCAAAAGCTCAAAGTTATGTGGTCTCTCGCTAGCTCATCTACTTACCCCTTGTTTCGTTTTTCCCACGGTCACCCTCGAATTCTTCAGCTTTGCTCGGCAACTCTACAAAATACAAGCTTTTTCCTACCAGCCCGGAGACTATGCGCTGGAACTGCGCTTTCTGGGCGCCCTTCTTGTGCCGCTTCCGAGCATTGAGGGTCCTTGCTCCGGGCTTTCCCGTGCTCCACTCACATCCGACTGGCCCACTGAGTCATTGGCCGGCCCCGAGCTCCAGGCCTCCTTTGACACAGGTCGCTCGGTCCATGGTTCGAGTGTCCTGCTGTCTGGCCAGCCTGCAGTGCTATTTCATGTGCTCGAGCCGACAGAGGGCTTCCGTTTTTCGAGGCAAGGGCTGATTATGCCCGAGTCCCCAGAGAGGCGGAACACGAACCTGCCCGAGGTTTGGGGACCAGGCCTTCAGGACTCGTGGTTGATGGACGACTCTGAGTGGTCTACCACAACTACTCAAGGTCAGATGCCAAATGTCACTGACGGATTGAGAGAGGATTGCGACAATGCTGAAGAGAAGCGAAATTCGGGCACCAGACTGCAAAAGTTTTTCTGTGATACTCGGGGCCTGCATTTGGGCGATATACTTTTCACCGTCAGGCATGAACACATTGGTAAGTTCGAAAGCATACTCTTTACTTGGATCCTATCTAACGCTGTTGAATGATTAATGTTCTAAGCTCTACAACATATTCAGTCGTGGAAACCTGTTCCGAATCATTTAAGTGTGAACAACACTATGTTGCACTTTACTTTTGCATTTATAAAAGACGCAGAGTTCGAGATAGATATAATCCAAAAATTTTATCCTTTACGTTAAATTAGATGGAATTTCACTATACTAAAAGGGGGTTGACCTCGC